TTGAAGAGTGTGTTGCATAGTGCAAAACAATCAGAAAGCTCTTATCATGTGGGTGTAAGAGTTTTAAAGCAGCATTAGGGAATAACCCTACAAACTAATCAACGGAGTAGGTCTACTTCGTTGAAAGAAATTGATTTTCAAGCTAAAACATTAGGAAGCTGAAAAACATTTCCCTTGTTCTCTCTGCTACTCTGTCATCCACGTCGTCCTACGATTAATCCTTGGATGCCCTTAGAGTGCGCGTGTCCGGATTAGACTAGGTGGTGAGAACACTGATCGAATGTGTGTAGGTAGCTAATCCATTATGCTCACCAAGTCCGACTGGTAGTAGCATGGCAGACTTCTTCACCAACTAATGGACCCCCACACTGCAAACAGGACTAGGTAGCAAAGGAATTTGGGAAACGAATCAGCTTGGATATCACTAACTTAAAAAAATCGTGACCCAGAACGGAGAACAACGTCTTTAGGCAGTGTTCAATCCCGTTTGGGGATACGCTCCGGTACTCAATTTAAATTAAAAATAGTCATGGCGTAATGAATGTGTATGCCCTATGGCTTCTTTTAATGTTCAGCCAATGTACAAGCTAGTACTTTTATCCTCCCAGACCACTCTGAAGCCAATCCACTCACCCAGGAGGGATGGAATGCTTGGCTTGCCTAGGCAAACACCCCGGATTCGAACTTGTGACCATCCCCGTAGAATGTGCGCCAAGAGAGGCTATACCATCTCTTCCTCATTTAGGAACGAACGATTGATAGATGAGCCCGAACTCTTGAGTCATAACCTCAACAACCCTTACCTTCTGGAATTGGATTGTGTAGATGAATAGTTTCTCATGGAGATAATTCCACTTCACCTATTTCTCACTTTCCATTGTTTAAACCCAATCAAATAACTGGTGCGAGCTTTTCTAGGTGTACACCCATTCACTTGGTAAGATCTACCGAGATCATCTTTGTTACGGGTTCGTGGGAGAACTCGGGCAAAAACTCTAAATGAATTCAAAAAGATTTTTCTGGAGCAGCTCTTCTTCAAGAATTTCCTCAATTGATAATTTTTCTCTGGTAGCTACATCGTTCGCTTGACCATTTCCCTTTTTTCTGAAATTTTGCTTTTCTTCTTCATCAGCATTCCTGTTCTTTGCGCTCTCATCGCTGTTGCAGTGCCTCCTGGAAACGTCCTCATGTGTCGTCTTGTCTCTTCTAATAAGACTCCAGGCATCAATGAGTAAAATCTGTTGCAATATTAATCTCCGTTGTCGTTAAACTTTGATGAAAGGCGCGAACGCAATCCCTCCTACAGCATTCATACACATGCCCCTCATCGGCACTATTCACCAGACCCATTAGGACAGAATAAGATCAAAGAAATACATGGTGAATCTGCATAAAAGAAGAATGGAAATGGAAGAAAAGAAATCTCCCCAGAATGGCAGACATGAAGGGAAAGTTTGATTCAAAATATATACGGTATCGCCAGCTTCAATGGATAGCAAGGGTTTATGAGCGAATGGGTAAGAAGATGGTGAATGGCTTTTTCACCATTTGTAAGGTTCATGGATCGAAACCTGAGCCCTACATCGTTAAAGTGAACCGTGTCCCTTACTTAGTACTGTCAAACTAATTCGAAAAAGCAAAACAAGAAAAACCTTCCACGTGCGGCCTTCACAACTCTGTGGTTGAACAGAATGGTTATTCTAATCACAAGATCTCGTACTTTATGCGAAGTGGAATGCGATGGATACCCCAGAATGGGTTAGGTGCATATTTTTGAATCACTTCTTCCATTCAAGCTGTAGACCTTTCCTTTCCTTCCTTCCTTTCCAGTTCCTGAGCAGCACGGTTAGGTTTGCAGTTACATACCCACCACATCCTTTCCCTCCTCAACCTTTTGCATGAGCGAATCACTTCAGAACGATAGCGAAATAAGACACATGATGGAGAATCATGCCTAAGGCCAAAGATAACCGGGATAAAAGACCCTGGAACACAGCCTTTCTAGAAGAAGAAAGCCTCTCATGTGTTGGGGTCAGCTAGTTAACGTTGAACTGACTTTGTATACATCTATTTTGTTCAATCAGACGAGTCTCGTACCAAGTGGCCTTGCCCGGAAAAACAGGGTTTGTGATAGTCTGACAGTCCTGAACGGATCCGATCTGGGAATTTAAGTTGCCTCAGAGGCAAGGTTTCTGGGGCACTACCTCGTCTATGCCAGGGAATCGAAGTTGGCTCCGTATACTTTATGCAGTGCCAGAAGCACATACTAGCATAAAGATTCTGTTCCTATTATCAGTTTGCTCCTTAGTAAGCTGCTTAGTTGGTATTTGTATCATTTAGCAAGCGAAAAACTTCATAAATCGTTGTAAATTGTAATACACATATTTGACACATCACATTTTATCACGAAATAGAGCGTGGGCAGCACGTTGGCAGGATCAAAACACCTAGCAGCAATCGCTTTGTCCTTATCTTGTTCATTAGACAGAGCATTTGATTTTCAACAAAAGAAAAAGCGTAAAGAGCTTAGGAGATAGGGGGTGTTGGGTGGGTGGAGTAAATCGCATTTCATCTCCGAAACGTTTTTTAATGCAGCCCATACATCCAGCTGAACTTCATTCTTTACAGGCGATGATGGAAATGGCGCAGCCGGTCCTGTTCGTACCACCGGATCTCGTCGAACTTCTGATATATCGAGTAAGTTGTATTTTAGAAATCCTTCATTATACTGTGAGGTAATGTTGCGAGGGAAGTATTTGTCGCAAAATTCGCAGTCGTCCAGGTTTCTCTCGGAATTTTCTAGTAGCTTCCATGGGGCTTTTGTCTATGGCCACTGCCCAGTGTATACCACATCCGGCTATCTCATCCTTGTTTACTTACCATATAATGACCGAACTGGCTATCCATACTCAACACGCACTTTAACTCTAACTTTACTGGTTCGAATTCGAATTTTCCACAACTGGGACCCATTGAAACATATACCAAGCATTCGGCCCTAAAGCCTCTTCTACGCAGTTCTGCGCACACTTGCCCCAACGCTTCACGAAACGGAGATATCATAGCATCGACAGGTAGTTTATGCACATGAAATTGAGCAAGGTCGTTTCATAATAATTCCAAAATAAAAACCAAAAAATCCTTCATATTCCACAACTTATTTTCGTAAACACTCGGAACTTGGCTAGGTATACGACCAAGACGATTAATAGAGAAAATCCATAGAACTGTTAGTAAGCTCAAGCAGAATCTGAGCTTAACCTCAAGAGCATACACCATAAAACATTATAAGTAGAGCTAGAATCGTCATGCTAATCGGTGGAGCAGGTAGAAAAGCAGAATGTAGCATTTCCCCACATCAGAATACCGGTGGGGAAGAGACGTCACCTTGCATAAGAACTATCTTGAGAAAATGTTCTGGTTTACCTTTATTCCTACGCCAACCCTTCCAACACGTAAACCTCTCCTAAACAATTACAGATGACTCCTTGGGTCATACTGTAATTGTAGGTATAAACCTCGGCAATAGTCATGATAGGCACCGAATGGACGATACGTACTGTTTGGTGGTATATATCCTTACCATTGTCGAGCTTCATAGCCGCCTTCCGATTTATCCATGAGCCTTTGTCCGACTTGCTACGTGCCTAGTCGAAACAACCAGACATTGTTTTTACTAGGAGATTACTCAACAGGTTTTTCAACTCGCTTCTGACATTCTCTTCAATGAGTAAAGCTGATGATGCAGTTCAGTTGAAGGCTGAGTTTTTGCTCCACCTTCGATTTCAAAAAAATGAAAAAAGGGAAGACCTTTCCAACACATAACGAATGACGGCGTTACATTTCAAACAATACGAGAAATCGCCTTGTTGCACGTGATGCTGACACTTTACCTTTACCTGTAGGTTTCTGAAGGGTAGATCCTTGGTTCCGACTACCTACTGTATTACCTGAGTCTGGTGATGCTGATTCCACAGATGGGGAACTACCTAGCCAGGAGAGGAAGGCCTTATGTGGGCAGTTTATGAACCTGAATTTAACGGATGTCCCAATGCACAAAGATGTAGGTTCTATTTCAATAGTTCAAGGCGGTACTCAGAGACGATTAGTTTTTATCTTGTACAGGAGGGATGCGACTTTAAGTTTGTCTGAATTGTCTTGAAACGATCTTTTAGATCCAAGTAGCAGTGGAACTTCAATTTCCCGGCGAGATCTGTCTTTCGTTTTCCTACAATCTATTCCTACAGCGCGGTAGCTACCCATTAACCTTATCAATTTCCGAATTCCCAGGAGCTCTGCAGTAATTAAAATGTTATCGCGACAGAAGTTCTGCTCTGCACATCTCCCATCGTTAGCAGCTTACATTGGAGCAACTGGCTACTATATTGCTGTTGAGTTCAGAAGTCCTGTGGCAGTGCTTTCACTTCAAGCAGCCTAGTTGCAGCACAGTTTCGAAGGCCCAAAATAATTCAAGAAAAAAGAATTCTTGGTGTTAAACTGCTCAGAAAGTGACTCTCTGCTAGGCAGGGCTGCCTCTTTTGAAAAATTCCCATAAGCCACGGTTCATCATATCCTTCGGGTAAACCACGAGAGATCACATGCTAGCTTGCTCCCTATGGATTTCCCCGTAAACGGTACCTTGACCCTGGCCAAACACTCCCTAGTTGGATCTCCTAGACCTGAACCAGGTGATATGATAATGGTCACTGCTTCCAATTTGAACAAACGTGGACTAATAGATATTCATTTTTTGAGCCCTATAGAGATTTTTTTAGAGATTTTGTTATTACTTCTTCAGGTGGATACGTACGCCACAATGGGCTGGGCGGATGCGCTGGCATTGAGCATGGAAGTGGATTCGTCGTTCGCCATCGTCAGCAGTGAGTGATGGCTTGTGATTGCCGTTTGTCACGGCGCAATCCTTTCTTTATGAGATGGAAATGAGTGAGAAGAATAAGAAGAAGAAGTCAGTCCATTAGAGGATCGGCGATCGGTCAGCGATGGTGGCTGGCTGTTCGTTCGCCATTCGCCGCTGTGCAACCGTCGCTGTCACCGCAGCCAGTTCTTCTCCATCCCGCCCGATCCATCCCGTATTGTCGCAGATGCAGCTGATAAGCATTGACTCATCTAAACAATCGTTGTTGGGTAACGTGCAAAACGGTGATGTTGGTGAGGCCGAGAAGAGGGCTGGGCTGACTCAGGGTCATGCTTGTCCTTCTCCCCATATTGCTACCCCTGGTTACCCAGAACATTGATCAGCTACCGTCTTCCAGCCCATTGATTGAATACCACTAGCGTTTAGCCCGATCAGAACATCAAAGCCAGCTTTTTTTCTTGAAACAACTTTACAAAGCTCCTGGTCGCATTCTGGGAATGTTCTATTAATCTGATTAATGAGCTGCTCTTAGAATTAGCATTGATAAAAGGTTGGATGCAAAAAGTCCTTCCGTGATCCATGCATATTATTACAATGCTAAATACAGTATCTTTAAATGTGGTCTATGTATATGGCTAGCGAATTTTAAATAAGTCAATCTAATCAGCTGATTCCATAATAAATATAATTCGACAAGTGGAACAGCCATGTTGTTTAAGATGTATTCGTTTTTGTTTCTGCTCATGCCAACGGCAAGCTAGTTCAGGGAATATTTCAGCTTATTTTTAAATTTTTGACAATTTTCCCATTAAAACGCTACGAATTGCAAGAGTTTGTATAGGCCAAAGTCATGCTGAACCATTTTGTCAGTACTCTGAAAATCTTGGGTAAATCAGGTATAGAAATCAGGTCGTCTTAGACTTTTTCGCTCCCCGAAGTTCTAAGGCTAACCCATCCCTTCGATTATCGATTTTACCGACGTGCCACTGGGTGCAATAAACCGATCAGAGACGATCACTTCCTTCGTTCCTGAAGTAAGGCGGAATCTCAGTTCAAAACTCACTTTTCCCACTCACCAACGAGGATTGATATTCCACAGGATCTGGAGAGAGAGAGCTGGACGAAGTAGAGCTAGTCAACGGGAGCCCCGATTTGGCTTGCACAGATCACCCAGTGTTTCTGGAGTGGGAACACTAAACCTCATAGCCGTAGATTGTATGACCGAGAAAATGGACATACAAGATCTCTGGTGTCAGGGGATTTGTTCGAGCCTATCGGACAGCTTAGATAGTCGGACCTTCCCTGGATGCGCTTCGCTTGTAAGTTACGCTTCACATGCTCATGCTCTATGTTTGTTGTTGAGTTTTCACCGGCTTCATCTGAATACTGTCTTTTTTTCGAAAATTCATCGTCACATTTGATAGCACCTTCTTCCTACCGTAATTCGATCGGTAATTGTGTCAATTTCGATCTCAAGGACAGACCTTTTGCGAGAACTGCTTTTCATGACTTGCTGGAAAATGAACTTTCCCGAAGACCTTTTGCTGCAAAGGTGGCCATCGAACCAACGTTAGTGTACCAAAGAAATACTTTTGATGCCTCCTCATGCAGAGCCATGATTTTCTGCCCTACTTCACCACACCCCTCCCCGGGCTCCTTTCCATTCCTGTCGGTCCCCAAATATCCATCCAACAACAAATATTTCCTTTGAGAAATGTGCATACTCATTACTCCTTGGCTTCTTTTGGTTTCTGATTCTGTGATTTCGCTCAGGTAGGCGACATGTAGGAAATGAAAGGGTCCAGAAGCCTTATTACCAAGAAGCTTGACTTCTACTTGGATCGTTGGAGGACTGTACTTGCCCTCCTTTAGCTGCTCTTTCTTTTTGCGCTGTATCAACCATACTAGTACAAGCAATTTGAACCTCTCCGAGGACCTGGGATTCAAAGCCCCTCCTCAGAACATGCCAAGTGTTTCTACGATAACTCCTCCGTACCCCCTCATGAAGATTTATTAATGAGTGACTCACTTCCCTGAAAGTATCCTCCCGGGTCCTGTCTCCTACAAGTACCCTCCCAGTATCATACTATCGATTACCATGTATTCATTGATATTCCTAAATCCTTTTCTGTTCTCCACGATCGTCCCTTCTACTAAGTGATGTTGCAATGCAGTCGTGTTGACTACTGGGCCGGATTTCCGTATAAGAAGATTAGCAGAGAAAGAAGTCGTCCTTCATCGGAAAATCTACAGCATCGATTACAAGCCTAATCCACTGTTAAACGTGTCTTCTAAAGAATTATCATCCCGATTAGTCGAAATAAAGCTTTCAACAGATTGATTTTAGCTGAACACGATTAGGAGCTGTGATGTTTGTCATAGCGCTCAATGACCATTCTACCTAGCTACCTCTACTCAAGGGCAGCAGTACATCAGGCTCTGCTTATATTTCAGCGACCTGTCGTCTACTAGCAGCTTCATTTCCTCAGGGTTTCATCCCATTTGTGTCCCTTTAATAAGCGCATCCGGCGGCCGCGCACCTAATTGATGTCAGTTTCAATCAGTGTACGCGTCACGTCGAATAAGTAGCTACAATACGCCAGATGACGGGGTCAAACCTTTCAGGAACGGGGTACACGTGTATACAGCTGCGACCCATCTTCTTCCTGTCTTGAAAGCCTATACATTGAGGATTGTCTAATTTCAACTGACTGGGGCACCTATCGCCCGCCGGCAAGTGTGTCTTCTGTTGAGGACTCTTGCTGAAATTGAATCCGCTGTGGCCAAATAGAGCAGATTCCCAGCGATATCCGCCATACATGCCGGCTTAGGCTGTCAGCTGGCGCGATTCCATGGCATGACATCGGGATCAACCGAAAATCCCATGTTCGGATTACTGCCCTAGCAGAAAACTGGCAACATGGGCACTACTTGAGTTAAGCGTAGGTCATGCTGAGGTTCAGGGTAGATGAGTTCCATTGACTAATCTGGGTAGACGACTTAATTGCAAGGTAACAAGTTATTGTTTCATTAAGAAGATTGTAGACGGTAGTTCATTGGCGGACAGCATCTCAGCAGGTGGATTGGGCAATGTTTCTGCGCTAGTGGACACGAATGGCAATTAGAAATCGAAGAATTGTCGTCGTCGCCCACGACTGCCTTTCCTACAGCACAACACTACGATAGAACCAGCCACCCGCGAGACGCGTAAAACATGTGTGGATAAATATGGGAGAAACGAGTGTGGTGCGACTGGAGCGCCAAAATTGCCGTAAGCTGCCTGGCCCGTCTCGTATGGGAAAAGCTCGTAGAGGTGGTTGCATTCAGCCAGAGTGAAATAACCTCCCCATTGTTGCAGCCGGCCATGCGGGGCGGTCAAGTCCTGCTACTGCCGTCAGAACCGGGACATTCCGATCTTTGAACAGCAAAATATTACAGTTTCTCGAATTCTGTTTGTGTGTATATGCGCGGATTGCTGTGCATCGCCGTCGGCCGCTCCAACCGCCTGCGCCCCCTCGGCCGCTCCCGCCCCCTCGCCCGACGTCGTCGTCGTCGTCGTCACTACCGTAACCCAGGAAGGCCAGCCGGCACATGTGGTTGGCCCCGCCTTTCATCGGCTGTGCGTCCCCGTCCGTCCGTCAACCCATCATCTATCGCTAACTCATCGCACAAGGCTATCGACACCTACCTGTGCTCAGTCAGTACCTTTGAGACTTCCCATATAACCCAAGTGGTACGTCGTGGTCGTCGTCGCCGTCTTCGTCATCATTGTCAGAGCTACCAAATCTTGCCGTTCAAACTGGCGACCATCTGTATGCGGGGTGGTTTCGAGCGATTCGAGCTCTCGGGACCATCCGAAGAGGAATGTCCATTGGACTATTGGTCAAAGAACGCTACTATTGAGAGCCCTGATAGTGAGTTGGTTATTTGTACTTGATTCAATTGTTCCCCTTAAGGGATTGCCATTTCTGATAGGTGACGTTATTTTCTGCAGATGTTCTATTCATATCCTTTTTAAGTCTATACATTCCCCACTTCTCGATCTCCCTAGCTTCTTGTTAAGCTAATCTGGAGAGTTGTGCCAAGTCTACGGCTGCATTGATTATTCTAATACCATACCAAGGAGATAAGCCGTTATCTCAGCTGAAACCTCGTCAGGTTACTTTTTGAACTGACTGCGTAGTAAATGATTTCCCTACAATCTTCAACTACTTCCGTCTGACAACTCTTCTACTCATTCCTTCCGCTCTTTTCTCCTCTTTTACTCATCTCCTATTGAATCGATGAAGAGCATATTTGAAATGCAAAAAGAGCACATTCATGTGTAATACTATCGATTCACCATGTTTTTTTTTTCAAATAGTTGTTTCTATTGTTTCAAAAACGACCCACCACCTCGCTTTTCGACCACCATTTTGGGGCATCCCTCTCCTCCCGGGTCGTTTGATTCGGATCATGATGGGGGATAACCATGATGCTACCGAAATGAAGAGATTAATTCTTGATGCCGGCTGCCAGAGCCGTTTTTGTCGTTGGCCAGCTTTTAGCGGGTGGTGGTGGTGGTGGCGGTGGTTCTTGAATGAGCCGCTTTCACTAGGTCATTCAAGAGGTCGTTAACTTGGCTGCTAATCATCATTCTTGGCCCGGCTATCATTAGCGCTCTTCGAAACCCCTGCTTAAACCCCCAGCTCGCGCTATAACTATTTAAGACTCGATTCAGCACCTGCTACCCCTGCTGCTTGAAGTATCCGACTCTCGTTCTGCTGCTGCTGCCACTGCCCTCGTCGAACCTTCCTTAATCCAACACTTGAAATAAGAACCTTTGGAAAGTCCCTTGGAAAAAAAGCTACTCGAAATGAAAACGAGCCCCACCAGGCGACAAATTTGCTATTGCTGCTAAAACAACTGTGATTTGTCCCCTCGTTGCTTTCCCAAGAGAAATCATTGCCGCCTGCACGGCCCGAGGGTTGTTAACCTAAACTTTACGAGTATGTTTGGCACTCCTTAGCCTGAAATGGGCTCAAATCTCCCTACATCTACCTCATTTATTGATTCAGAGAATTTCAGAGAATCGTTCCATGTCGATTTGTGCTGCTTGTCAGCTCGGTGAGTTCATGCCTTTCTTATCCACTGAGCTACTCAATGTCTCTCTACGGTATCTAACTGAATAGTTTTGTTTAGAAATCGCCGATCGTTTTATTCTACGAGTACATCCCAACCTGGAATTTCACGCTTCATGCCTCAAGGTAAGTAGCGATCATTCATCTGGAAATTCGCCCCGTCACCGCTCTCTAGCCCTCCCTCGTGCTGAGGGGACGGGTAGCCGGGTTGAGATCAAATTTCAACAGGGAATCGAATTCTCTTCGATTTCACCTGTAACACCCCCCTCCAGTGTAGTGAAAACGACTCGAATGACTGTTTTAACTTTACTATGTGGTAAAATCCGAATGCTATGCGTGATGTCATTAACAATTCCTGCCACCTGTGGGTACGCTACGACCCTAAACTGACCAATTGATGAATGAATGATGCGTTTTCATAGGTGAATACGTTTCAATTGAACCGTGTATGACATGCTTCAACTAACTTCAATAGCTTCAATAGTTAACTGACTCTGATCTGACTTCAGTGTGCCGAATGTTGCCGACCGTTGGATGAGTCCTGTACGGCATTCGTACGGAATGGGGTCACTTACTGTAGAGAGGACTACTACAGGTTTGTTTCGTATCAGCTTGAAGTCTTCTCCTGCTTCCTTACTTTACTCTGCCACGTTTTACTACAACTAGGGTTTCGAGTATAACTGGATTCCTTAGGCTTGTATTGTATCCTCGATCATTCTGCTCGACCAGCTTAATGCTCGATCAGGTGGCCCTATAAGGAATCACCTGCACAGGAACGGACAGTGGCAAATCCCTCCTAAAGAAGGGCTCCAAAAGGAACTTTCATTGTTACTTGTTCTTTATTAATTCACGTATCCAAGTAGTAATAGGAATACCTCCGAAGAAGGCTCTAGTGCTCAGCCATTCCGCACTTTACAGCCTTCTCCAGCAGCTCGTTTGAGCTGGATACTCTAGAATTGTTTCATTTTCTTGCTATGAATGCTGTCCAATTCGGATCTTCATAACTTCGTAGTATCTCACTTCCGATCCTAGTCAAACAACCAACTTGTCCTCCACCCATGGCAATGGGTCTTGCTAGGAAAAAACAGGAGGGAAACGGTTTTAGGAGAGCTCCCGAGTTGTTTTGTGAATCGATTTCCGTTCCAGGCTAGACAGTTCCAGAGCTATATCCCAGCGCTAATGCGAGCATAATCCTCGGAAGTGACTGCCGCGCAAGGCATTTTCCATTCAAAAATCGCTATGTTTTCATTTTATCTATGAGAAACTCACCTTGGAACCCTTTTGAATCATCTATTAATTCCGCTTTGGGGGTTCCTTCGAATTTTCGTAATTTTTTCCATTCCTTTCTTGTTTGCCTCAATACAACGTTACGCTGCGATCATTGTTGACCTTTGCAAGCGTGTATCTTCTTCGTCTTTTTCTTAGGTCGTTGACGATTGCCGAACACGTATGAAGGGGGAAGTGTCCGAGTCGAGAGGGCCCTTCTCCTCTTACCTATTCATTGTACGGCCTATTCATGAGCCGCCTTACGTACACATCAGGGTTAGGGTAGCCGGAAGCTGCGGGCTGGCCGGTGATCGTCGACCAGTCAATTCGGTTCACCTATTTGATTGAATTAACCAAAACTTCCCTGGAAAAGTTAGATAAGGGGTCTTCCGGTGAGATGATGCCAGTGACCTTTCTCTAGATTACGGTAAGCATTTGTTTGCACAAATATGTATACCAGTACCTTATACTAGTAGATTAATGCCAGTAGCGTGTTCACACCTACACAGGCATATTCAGTGCGAATTTCTCATGTTCATATTGGGGCCTTTGTTGTACCGCTAGGATAGCGGCACGTGTCTATAGCCGTTATTTGGGGTTCCCTCACACATCCCCTGACTCATAGCCGACGGTGATCACTTCCACTTCGAACACATGTGCTAATCGTGGAAAATTGTACTTACTCACTGGGCGACAAGACCTTGGGGATTCCATGAAAAGAGAGAAAATTATGTCTACCTGGGGACATGGCTGGGTAAGGAGGATAGTGATTAGACTCCCTAGTGTTTTCCCTACGTGAACGCTCGATGGAACACCAGTTTCTTGCAGAACTCCCACAAATTTGAATAATTACTTAGGGACGAGCTGCTGGCCACTTGATAACAAACAATCTTTCCTGAATGCTTAACCATGTAATTTCCTCGTTCTTCTAGACGCTTGTGACATTTCTCCCATCGATTGTTGTCCTTTACGTCTGAGATTACGAGATTGTCCTATTAACGGACAAATTGAGTAATGATCTTCGAAAACTAAGTCACCTCCGTTCCTGGGAAGGTCCTCCCGGCACCATATGTATCAGGTCCTCACAGACCGGAAGTAATGCGGTAATAGAATGGACTACAATTCGGCTGCTTTTGACCAACAGGAATGTGACGCCATTTCAAGGTTACCGTATCTGAACCCCTTTCATAAGTACCGCCATGTGGGTCCGGAAAACGGTCAGAAGCAGGTCATGCATAGGACTGTTACATAACTAATAAGAATGTGTTTCTAGGCTTTTCGGCACCAAATGTAGCCGTTGTGATTTACCGTTCGACCGGAGCGAGTTGGTAATGAGAGCTCGGCATGCTGTCTATCACGTCGCCTGTTTTTCCTGTGTGGCATGTGAACGCCAGCTGAAAACTGGTGATGAGTTTCAGGTAAGAAGAAAGGGATTGATAAAAATTTTCGATGAAAATGGGATTGAATATGAATCTTCCTGTTATCTGGGTATGGCAAGGATTACATGCTGTGGATCCATAAATAGTTGGAATCTTTGAGAAAGCACCTACTCAATGGTATAATCATCCAATGTAACAATGCCGATGTAGATGCATAGCTAGGTAGATTTTAACTCATATGTATGGCAGCTGATTGTCATTCTGAATAGGTTGGATGTGTTCACGATGATAATTTCCGCAGAAAATGTCCCAATGTATTAACTAAAAGCTCAACTTCGGACTACCTGTAAGTTTGAAATATGCGCATACAATAATCTAGCCTCGAATCAGCGGCGCCCTGAATTTTGAAAGTTTCTTGATCCTGTATCATTTTCGAGGGCCTGAGTGGCATTGGGAAACGGAAACGGATTTCTACCCAACGCTCACCTACATACATGCCTCAACGAGGAGTATTCTCAGTCAAAATAGGTCTTATCTCAGAGAATAGGGACACCGAATGTTTGAAAGCGATTTAATGTAGAGATTCCCTTTGATTTGACTTGAATCCCATTCTTGTGTCTCTCCAGATTTTCAGCTTACTTGACTGCCTTTCACGTATGTTTACTCAACAGCCGAACTCTCAGAATACAAAAAAATTCTGTGAAGTACTGCTAAATGATAATCGGTTGGGGCGATCTTGCCAATTAACTATCTAATCTCCATACAAAATCAATGCAGATATCTTCTCGAGTTCAATTTGCTCAAAAAGACTTTCGTAATTAACATCGTCTTTTGTTTTTAAAAAGGTGTCAGCATTCATTACCTATACGGGGAATAGAAGACAATACGAAAAGCTCCAGCGATATCCTGTGAAAAGTATGAAATGCCCAGTCCTAAGAGGAGTAGGCGAAGAAAACTTTTGCATTGATTGTTCAATTGTTTCAGATCAAGGGGAATTCTCTGTACTGCAGAGCCGATTGTGAAGCCGGAAATGTACCTGAGGTAGGGTCGTTCTTCCGTATGCTTTCAAGATCTGTCCACAACCCTTTACTTTCAGCCATCCTCCATCCCGACCCCGTCGATGTTCGCCAACGATGACTCGTGGGAGACGTCAACGATGACCTCCTTGGATCATACCAGTAGCCCTCCGCTTTCCGTACGGTAAGGGGTTTCCACCTAGAGAATCCTGATGCTTTAACAATATTCTGCTTGTAGTTCACCTAAATCCGATGACATGAGTACTCCGCAAAATAATGGTTTTCATAACACCAGCGGTTCCTCAGCGGGCTCGTCAGGGAAGAAGAAAAAGGATAAGCAGGTCAGTGAATCGAAAAGTTTGCTCGAAGAGATCCAAGCGATGATTTTGAGCTTCAGACGACAAGGGTTCGAACTGTGCTCAACGAACACCAGCTGTCGATTCTGAAGAAGTGTTACGCCCTAAATTCCCGACCTGACGCCTTACTCAAGGAACAGCTTGTAGAAATGACCGGTAGGTAGCATTTTAAGCCAATAGCCGCAGGCACCCTAACAGGATCGACTTTCAGCATTGAACGCCCGAGTGATCCGGGTCTGGTTTCAAAATAAACGTTGCAAAGACAAGAAAAGGCAGATTCAGATGCGTGATATGGCCGTAAATGCTGAAAAGGTAAGTCCGTTAAGGTTCCTCTTGATCCTCTTGTCACCTTACGTCATCTGATGGGCCAACGTTATTATTATTATCCCGTTGATCCGTTTATTTAGTAGTGACCGTAATTGCACACACACAGAGACATACACAGCCACTTGTGTAAACCATTTGCAATTACACTATTTGCACCAGTTCTTCACTTCCACTTATGACAACGTTAATCCTTAGTTCTGTATGTTCCTTCCACTTATGGCGCTCCAGTCAAGGCTGCATGGGCCCGCACCTGAGCCCACGTCAGGAATCTATTCCCCCATGAAACAGTTGAGGGCTCACCTGACCGGCTTAAAACCATGTGACGAAAATCTCCCTTATCTTTGGATTCAGCCAAGAATTAATCTGGCTAAGCCCGAGTTTCGAAAAGAAATTGATTCCCGATTATGCCCAGAGTAAAGAGCCTTCTCTTACCCTTGGTATAACCCATGGCTCTACCAACCAGAGTTCCATCTCCCCACTAGAGCCCCTAGAGCCCAGTGCCCTTTGATGTGTGTGCAGTGAGGCGATTAGATGAGTATTGTTACCAGCGCTTAGAGACGCAAAACGGCGCAAAATTCAAAACAAAACACTCGTTGAACCGTGGGAAATTTCCCGCATACACTACTGTAGGGGAGAAGTAGGAAAAACAAAACTTCGACGCGTTCGCCCGATCCTTTTCCTCAACGTCGCCCTACTTCCCAATGGGGACCACCACTTTGATCGCTTCTTTACGGTCATTTCGTCCAGAACTCATCGGTAAGTAAGTCTTTTTGGAGACGGCACTTTCGGAGGTTGTAGAAATCCCCCTCCATTGAAAAACAAGGCGTCATCGACTATAATCTAATAACACCGTAACTAGTTCTAGTTGTGTTGTGGTGTGTTTACGGCCTTCGACGAATACCGTACATGTTCCACTCCTCTTCGATACCGTACCCCCACTAATTAGTTTTCTGTGTGTGGCGACGTGCCTGCGCCGCTTCGGACGGACTTGCTCGGACTGTTAATTCGATCATCAATTAGTGGAGCTATGTCTCTGTGATTGAAGCGCTATCTCAGCTCAGAGCGCACTTGGCCCAATATCAGCCCTCAGCTCGATCTAATTTAGGTTCCAGGGGATAACCAAGGGAGAGGCACCAGAGGGAGTCAATCAGAATTCTGCCAGCAATAGCTCTGGAATTTGTCAGCCACTTCTCTTTACTGGGGTAGAGCTAGCGGTAGCGGGTAACAGGGGCCCCGTTCTCTGGTCCTTTATGTACAACATCGGTTTCTAGCAGACATGACACAGATTAACCGCAGAGATATTGACAGATAAGCCGCCGTCGTTATCGAAACGGCGCTGGCTGCGGAATCGACTACATAGAGAAGCACAAGTGTTGAAGAAGGGACAGCCGAGTTGGTTGAGGATCAGAGATAAGCTTTGCAGGCGAATCAGTCCGAACAGACGTCTTCATTCACGCTCATCACATCGTTGGCCATTAATCGTCTCAATTAGCCTCTGTACGACCGCCTGTGATCTGTCGTCAATTTAGCAAAGAAAAAACATTACGTTGAGCGCTTCAGCAACAGTTTTTTTAAGGGGTGGCAAGATGGTGGCACCACCTGGCGACCAGTTCCCCAATTTATGACTGCACCAAATTGTCGCTCATTTTCCCGACCTATCCTCTTCACTAATGGGTGTCGAAAATCGGAGGGACGTCCTTCCGCTTCTAGACCTCCCCTAGATTTGTAATAGAGCAACCTCGAGAGTCCAGAATAAGCTCCGTTCACTTGAAAGTTAACTCATACCCCGTTTCTGGGTTATCCTTCCCTCCTTATGCCCTTTTGGCTCGAATATGTCTGCAGTAAATATCGAGCATAGGCTAAAGCCCGATCATCTTCAAATACAACTTAGAGGACTTAAAATTGATCTTAGAATTTTCTTTCCATGTGGGTAGTCTGCAGTATCAAAACCAAAATATCAGCTGATTCTATCGAATACTTAATTTGGACGAGTTCACTCTGCTATACAATTCAGAGACAACCCGGCCTAGGTCCAGTATAGACCAATAGAGGTGGTTGAAAGGCTATTTTGTTCCATTCAACTCGGCCTGGACGCAATACTTTATGATCCATCTTTTACCTTTTGGCTTCTGGTGGGCATATAGAGGTATTTCCACGAATTCTAGAGTATTCGGTAGGATTACCTCAGAATTTCGCAAGCGAAGATAAGCTGCCGCGTCGGTACACTAAAAATAGAGTTGTAGCTTGACAGGGGTATTTCTGGGTGATGAGCAATCGGCTAAAACTGGCGATCTGTGATGACATACATGTTGCCTACCACTAAGCTCTTACCACATGCTCTCCATGTAGCTTTGCGTCATCGCTTAACTCAGTCGACGCAGTAATCTGTCCAGAGTAACAACGCCTAAAATAGGCAGTAAATTCTGGATAACTGAGGTTTTCGTCGAATTTAGTATCCTGACGTCTGCAGCCAACTTTTACATCGTAGGCTGGGATTCGACGTACAAGAAGGCTTGTTCCACTGGCTATAACATTTGTTTTTATCGGTCTAGTAAACTATGAGGCGATTTTCAGGAGTGGCTCTTTTAATGATTCAGTTAAGTCAGGTTGAGCCATAAATTCTTCTTGGTTGGTAGATAATCCGAAGGATGCTCACGGATAAAGGAAAAGGCTCGCATTCGCTCTATTTGTTCATTATATCTGAATTTGTAAGAGACCAATGATCACCGTTACTAGTAACGTAGGGCGACGAGAGCATCTGGTTTATACTCGAAGCTTGGCTATTGAAAGTAACCTTCAACGGTTTCAAAATTTGGCTTTAAAAAATTTGGCTTTGGCAAACAAAGTTCTAGTTAGGGTAAGACCGGGAGTCGTTTCCGCTTCCATAGTGCCTCACTAAGGTCAAACTCAATTATCCTTCATTTTCTCCTTCTATTTTCTAAAACACCATACTTTGTCTATTCGGAGTTTGGAGAAATATGGGAGATTCCCTACGAAAACCTATTCATCTTGAGCTCAAGGGTTTATATCGAAATTTAACTCTTTATCGTCCTTCAGAACTTTTGCCCAGAGTGAGACTTCCAGAAAGAAGAGATGGACCTTATTGATTTAACTAAAAACCCTAGAAGACTTTTTGAAATTTCTTCTAGCTCAAGTTAAACTTATCTTTTTGCTCCCCTGTAATATTAGGTAAACAGTCAATGCCTTCTTTGAGTTTCCGCTCGAGCTCAATCATTTCCGATTGCTATGTAGGCCAGGTAATCAACTATACTGTATTTTTACTACGTTCGAAGGACCAAAGGTTTTCTCAGGTAGCTCCCGAAAGGCCAATCGGAAGGATCGTTTCACTCTTACGTGGGGAAACAGTGAGATCACAATGGTAGAGTTGTGTGTATGTGGGTGAAAGTGATATGTTTACTCTCACACATCCCTCACAATCTGCGCTGACATACTGCCAGCTTGCGCTTCTCAGGTTCAAGCACCTCTTCTCTATAAATAGAATACGGTGGCACTGGACGGGTGGCACATATGGTGAAGCAAGTGTTGAGTGTTTATGCTGAATAGCCATCGTGGAACGTTTGACCACACGGTGGTGGTGTATGGCTCAATGGGGAAAGGTTTCAAAAACCTCTACGGGATGTCGGGAGTCATATGACAATAGGTGGTATCAGGGACTTAGGATGATGGGCAAGTGCTATGCGACCCTGATGCACTCGTTACATCACTGATGCCCTACTAGGAAGATGATCATGGGGGGATATGCCTATCTTCGGCTCGAGAAGGACACCTGTAATCAGAAAACCAAATAAGATGAGCTAGTCATCTGAAGCCGTGTACCGATCCGGTGGCTTAAGAGGTAATCAGCCCTTTCTAGAGGTCAGCCAGGTGGATCAGCTTCAAAATAGTCCTGGTAGCAGCTCCTACTTGAGACACCCGCTCACAAAAAGAAAGATGGACTGGAGATATCCTCCTGAAAAATCTGGTGACCCGGGATATTTCTCTGGAATTTCTATCACAGTACGGTACTAGTCACCTTTCATTTTCTTCATATTACGCCATGCACATGACTGATTTCCGAAAACATGGATGTCTTTGGAAGCGCAAATTATTTTCTCTCCCTGCCCAGAGTAGGCTACATACTGGCGAGCCCTGTACATGCTCTATGTGGATTCTTTCCCCTTCCAAACGAGTCTATCACTGATACCACAGAGGAGATGAAGGTAACCAAGGTGTGGGGGAACTGATCTCGAGGACGTTTCAGAGGCACATAGTTCCTCCAGCTAGTGCGGTATCTCTGGCAGGCAAACAACAACAGATGATTTTCCCGATAATCTAAACAAACTGGTTCTGGACGCAGCTGTATATCGGGGCGAGTCCCCGTGTCCTTCCTATCGTACAGATGAAGGGCCCCATGCCATGCCCTTCATTGAGCTGAACATGATACCGTATTCCTTACTGGTGTGCATAGCATCTTCTTAGAATAGGAGGACGAAGACGGGAAAGGACGGGGAGCGAGCACAGAGGAGGGGNGGGGTGCTATGACGCAATCCGACCCTCTATTGACTGACTTCGATTTAGGCGAAATGTTTGCATAGCCACCTTCTCGTTTTGGCGAAACGACACGCAAGATTATAACGCGTTCATTTCATTCACTCTTCTCAATCGGGGGGATTCAGCCCCGGATAGCCGCCCCAGCTGGTGGCAGTAGTATCCGCTTGACTGATCGGCGGCTGGTTACGTAACCCGCGCCAGACACTACCCAAACAGCCAGCCCGCTAAAAGTCATAATTAGATGAGATGCATTTAATTAGTGTTGATTAAAGACCGCCGGATGACTTCGTTGAGTTGGCAGGCGGCATGTGAAAGGACTGCATGATACGGTCCGGATAGGGCTAATTGTGTAATTGCACCGATGACATCTGACTACGTACATACACATACACAGGATGACCGTATACGAGGTTGTCTTTTGGCGGTAAATTGGTGGTAACGACCCCCGCGAACACGGCCACTTCGTTTCCGCCTCCATGAACACCGGAATTCCAGTACACTCGGATGGAATCAATAATCCATTCATATGTGTACTTGGAAGTCCTAATGAGTGTCCTTGCTCGGGAAGGATTTCCTATTCTGTCCGGGAGAATTCTGAAGGCATCTGACAGTCCTAGAATAACCGTGTTCTTCTCAGGAACGCGCCCTGAACGGAGTTCGAATGACCGGAGTTGGACCGATGGTGGCTGGTGCACCTACAAATCACGTCGAAACGTTATCGATTGGTCAACCGATCGATATAACGCACTATGCTCAATGGGGCCAATCAATGGACGCCCCAATGGTTGATCCTGCCTCGTTTGGACCACCGCCTCCTGCCATGGTAAGTAAATACTTGTTCAATTCTTTTTGTACATATCTGTTACCGTACTACTTTCTAAACGACGATGCCTTTTCTACCTCTTTAACAACTGGCCGAAATTCAATTGTTGTTCCCAATACCGTATGCGTAAATAGGCCACCGTAACCTTTGCAAAAAATTGACGACGAGCCAATTTTGAAGACGAAACAGCCTTCGAAAAAGTGCAAATCCTGCCATAATCTGTTCAAATGGCCTCAGTCCATTAGAATCGAATTTTAATTACCCTCCTGTGATGGGTCGTTGACGGGTTAGATTTGTCGCAGCTTTTGAGAGAACGACGTAACGACCGGCTCCTAACTGTGACTGGTGGTATCCTATTCGGGTCGCTGGCGGTGAAGATGCGATGATGAGCGTTATGTTAGAGTGAACTGGCGACCAGCCGGTAAGGTGGTAGAGTGGGTGCACACACCTGGCAGGGGCAGATATAGCGGGTTCTTTTGGATCAGCTAGTGGACAGCTGCATAAATAAGCGACACCTCAGGGGTCCTTGAAGTGGCTTGCCTAGTCGTGCAGGCGATTCAAACCCTTGAACCCTTAAGGGGCTCCAGGGGATACACTGGCTCCCATTCTAGATCATATGGGTCCTTAACTCTTACAGCATTCTACCTCTTGAAGAAAATGAGCTTTTCATAGAAAGCACTTATAAAAAACTCTGAATTCGGAACAAATGGAACAGCCTAGCGCTTGTTGGAGTATATGGTTATCTGTTTTTTCTACAGCAATCCTCATTTTCGCTCCTGCCTCTTCAAACGGTGAAGTGATCACATCTGTGCGGAGTGACCGCAATTCCCTAAACATATCTACCCTCTTCAACTGATGTGCCTAGAGTCCTTCCAGAAGTTCGTTCTAATTATGAACTCTACCTATATGGTTTTATATTTATTGAACTTCCTCCATGTTGTGACGTACTGTTCATAGCTGGTGGTCTAGTAGTGTAAACTGCTACTTCAGTACACCTGAGGGGGAGGGGGGGCCATTAGGATTCACAGAGTAATTCCGAAAGAATTCAAAAAGGTCCCACCAAAACTTCGATAAAAGCTAATACGTCGACTTCTTCATCAGTTATAAATGAAATCAAAACTTTTTAACCGTTCAACTCCTAAACTAGTCAATAAAAACGAATACTTTCACCGACTTCAGTATCCGGCTCGGTTCCAGAAACTTTTCCCTGAACTGAGTGCGGTTTGATATTTGCAATTCAATCAGATGTCAAGAGAACAATGAGATGTTTTCTTGTTTTCGTTGAAATACGATCAGCATGACCTATTCCTTTTAAACAATCCAAAGAACAAAAATTCAAAGAGATTTCTACCCTCTTGCAATAGAACATCTCACCGAAGAATGCCATGAATTGGAAGTTCGGATCTGCACGTTCTGCCCATTACCTTTCGTTTGCACTGTGAAGTACTTCATTAGTCAAATAATTTGGTTCAAACTCTAGTAATTCACCTGCCCACATAAAATTGTTTCGGTCCTAGCTGTTTTGAGGTGTTCAGTGGGTTTGTTCTCTCCAAATTCCCTCGAGCTCCCTCTAGAAACGTAGAGGTAATGGGTTAGGAGGTTGGCCCATGACCCATACTATTTCGGCAATAAGGTGGTGCTGTAGAAAAATCATCTATCGACCAGTCAACCGTAAATGGGCGAAGGCTCTTTCAGCTCTTGTAAAACTCGACTTGTTGAGTGTGATAGGTTGAAGGCTTCTTTACCCACTTCTTCCCTCAAACGGAAAGGATTTAGCTAGATCTAATTAATAAGATTGAACCTTAGCAAACGAGACTTTTGATCCAGTTCCAAAACGACAGAGAAAATGACTTCTGCTATGGGTTTATGACGCTACTTCTAATTTTGAAATTTCAGGGTTACACAGAGATCGCACCCGAGCTCGGCTATGGCATGATTCCACCTGGTGGAGCATTCCATGAGTTCTCACCTCATCTACATGCATCCGATCTGTCGTCGCCCAGTTGCAGTGAATGACGACGATAGGCTGGCTGAATACTACCGTATCGATACGAAACCCGCCACATTGCCTTGCCTCTCTCCCAATCGATCGATACTCCAGCTGTGCCGATCGATATCGACTTGTGTGGTCTTTTTGAACACAATCACTTAATACAGACGTTGTCATGGAAGACTCGTCATTCCCATTTTAGCATCCCCGTTTCGCTCACTTTCGTTTCAGTCCTGATGAGAATGGCATCCATCAGATAGGTGTAGTACGAATCAGTTCTTTTCCATCAAAGTTTGGATGCACCTCTGCTGTCTCTTCCTTTTTTCATTTTTTTTCTGTGGACCAATTCTGAATATTCTTTAAATTCTTTTCTTGTGATACGACGCATGTGAACTCTAATATTTATATTATTTCTAGTGTTACATCGAGTTGGCTAGGGTTGTGAGTTGAAGTGTTTCAAAAAGAAAATCAAATTTTCCCCTGTAATAATCACAATACATTTTATTTTGTGCAGAGCTTATTTACAATTGTCCTGGTTGTTCCCTGACGCTGTTCTTCCGCTTTTTCCAGCGCTTACCCCGTCCGACATTTCCCCCATCATGACATCAGAACTTCTTTATCTTTCCATAACCCCATGTATCTACTACACTATTTCTGGGAAATGTTGGACTTTTCAGAGCCATAATATCCATGAACTGCAGTATCTGTATGATTTCATGCCAATAAATTTTATTTATTTCTGTAAATACATTTATTTGTGATTAGAGGGAGAACGGAGATTTTTGGAAGAGCAGTCTCTATTTGCTCAGTTTGCAAGTTTGCGACCCTGGAACGTTTGAAATCGATCTGCTGATAGAAGGAGCAGTAGGGGTGACCAAAACCGGGAGCGCGCCACGTACTCGGCTTCTATCCAAACTGCTGGAGCATTTGAATGAATGTAACCGGTTTAGATGTCTTATTAGTTTGATGAATTCGATATTTGCAAAAAACTGATCTAAAGAGCAATGTACTTGTTTCAGATCCCATCCTCCCACTGGGTTATTTGCCTACAAGGATGTGAGTATTCCCCTTGAATGAGCTATAAACTCTCCCAACCACTGTGTTAAGACTGAGAAAGCATGGCCACTTTGCTTATTCCCCCATCAAGCTTGCTTCCCGATTCAAGAAAACCCGGAAGGAATTTATTCACATCTAGCTGGCGAGTTATGAACAAAACCTTTGCCTCGGATGGGACTCGACCTCGTACTTGTGCTATCTGGGCACTAAGAGCCCTTTTGTCCATGGAGGTGAGTTTCCAGGAGATTTTTTCTTCCAGAAATTTGTAGCCAGTCAGTGTAAGGTTCACAGGCGTTTGGGCAGTGACGTTTCCATCGCTCATCATTCCCGCTTAGACAAGCAGCGGTATCTTCAAAGACAGTGTAAGGCAAACGGTCAGACCACCACCGTTTCCCGGTGAGTCACAGCAGTTCTCCACCGGGGAAATCCTTCCTGCTGGCGTGGCACAGGAGACAGTTGGCAAGTTCTGTCGTTATGTTGTGATGACTCGAAAAAATCCGAAAGCTATAAAGATGATGGAAAGGAACCGTTACGTGAATGTAAACCTTTGCAAAAGAAAAGACCACACAGTGAGTTTTTCCCAATAGCCGGCACCTTTCATTAGTAGCAATTTTCATTGAGTTATGACCATCGTGGACTCTATTTTCCGACTTCTTACTCACTTCTAGAACCACAGCAGCTGCCAGTGAGGAACGGAGTGGCAAGAGATGGCTTGAGGGTGCATAGTCATGTTCTGAAAACTTCAGGCTTTTCGAAGAATCTATCAAAAAGTGCATATAATCTGCAGCTTCTGCTTTCAGAATCGGATATGAGTTGATGCAAAGTGAAAGAGAACGGCAGCCCAGCGATGCCATCCATTTCCAAAGAGGAAAGAGAATGATACGTCAGTATTGATCCCTCCATACAGGGGTCACTTGCGGGGAGGGTCTAATTCTAAAATACAGCCATAGAATACTCTCGAACCTCAAAGACCCATCTGAAAGTTCGTCAGTAGATTTCAGGAACTTCTACGAGAAACAGTTTTTTTCAATTTTCTTCATTTCTTTGGCGACTTCCCAGCGATATGGAGAGGAAAATCTTGCTGAATCCCGTAATCTTCCTTTGCTGATATCCGTCATCGAAGTTCTCGATTATAACTATGGAAGGCTTGACAAGGACTAGTTTTTTTTTTTTGAGGATGAGTCACATATTCTACTTGATCTGGGCATCGTCGCTTCTTTTGCTTGCCCATGTGGGACGTAAGACATAAACTAACTTCCGACAGTTCGGTTCCGGTCACATTTAAAAGCCTAGATTTCACATTTGGAATAAGCTAGTACGGAAAACACTTGAATGGAAAGGACGATAAATAATTTTTTGAGTTTGACGTCTGCCCTTATATAACCTATTGTGTAGGCTTTTTTGCTTCGGTCAATAACTTACTGTTAGGAATGTCACAGTACATATTTCCCATCGACAACAAGTAAAACATCAGTCTGCAACTTCCCTTGGCTCTTCTAGGGGTGTAACACCCTGGATTTTTCAGGAACATCCTTGAGCTTTTACCTACCCAAGCCCTGGTTGTGATGCAGAACTTGAGTGGCATCTCAATGGATTTATCCTAAGCTCCCCTATCAGATGTATTTCAGGAGTCATTATCGCTGCAATAGTTCGTTGACCAAAGATCATCTGTGTCTACTGTGTAACCTTGATGGGAAATAATACTAAGGGGACTAGTCATAACACAGTTTCTCAATCGATATTGATCGAAATTATCGGTTTTCATCCAAAGAGTCGAGAGAAGCTCCGAGTCGCAAACTTTTAGGGGAGAATTGCAGCTTTCACATGGTATTAAGCGATTTTTCAAGAATATTGATGACCAAATTACGCGAGTCAGTCACTCAAAGCCAAAGAAAGCTCAAGCAAGGCTTTCAGTAGAAAAAAAAGCAATCAACTACTACTTCTTGAGAAGCTTTTATAATAAGAGGCTTGCTATCTGAGCTCGATCCCTGAGGCCTTTGATTGAGGATTATTCTTGCATGAAACATTCAACTGATCCGCTGCCGCACTTAAGCGGATTTTGAGCGATTTTTTAAAGTACAAAGCTACTCTCTGTGAACAAATGGGAGGATTCTCACATCACGAGTTAACTGCTTTTNTTTTCCTCTTAATTGATATTAGTCATGATTAAATTGAAAACAGACGGAGTCGATTCTGAAAACCAATTTTGCGCCGTGCTCCATCGGACAGAGAAGAAATGTTCGTGCGATTGAGAGTTCTCCAATCATGAACTCTTTCCAAGAGTGAATAAACGCTTTAAAACTTTAGAAAAACATTGAAAATAAGAGATAAAAACTCATTCGGCTAATATTTCAAATAAAATAAGTTTGAAGAGCTATGGAAACCCGTAAACCTCGAATCACTTACTGGAAATTCTGGTGGCATAACACTTGTGGATGTTCTTTTACAAGAAAACAGATTGTTTTTCGGATTATTTGCTTTTGCATGAAAAACGAGCATTCGGATAAACATACAGATTGCGCACTATCCCGTTTAATCTGACAAGTGACTGGGCCTGCATCTCAAGCGAGGTAAGGTTGGGACGCACTGACCAGATGAGGCTTCGAAGTCCCAGGGGCAGCGACAGTACTTTCTTTTTTTTTNTTTTTTTTTACTGGTATGATTTCTGCGAACAGTGAAAAACTCTGTAGTCATGATTAGGCCGGAAACTCTCCCGCTTAGGATTTCATTATCATTATTGTATTGGTTAATATCTGTACCGTGCGTGTACAGCTGCAAGGGAAAGTCGAACATTTGCATCTTGACGGCAAAACTCGCCCACTCATCTTTCGGATGACTTCAAATCTCAAGACGCATGAACAGTGCAACAAAGCGGAATGTGAACGGTCGGTCATCTGTTGCTGTCGCGACCACTTCCGTCCACTGTTCAATCTCCCGACATTTCACCTGCAGTCCATCCCTTTCAGATAAGGTCAAGGTAATTTACCAGATCTGATGAGCGTACAAAATTCCACTTATCCGATTAACATTGAACATATCCTAACCAAACGCCGATCAAGTCAACTTAAATTGGTCTAAAAATCTTCATGACCCCTGTATCTTCCATGGTTCCTAGGAAAATTTGAAAAAAGGTATGAATCCGAATTTTTTGAGCGTTTCTGGACCTACTAAGTCAACAAGACTTTGTACAACTCTGTCGCCCCAAGCCTAAACGATTGCCAAAAGACTCGTCCGGTATAATCAAGAAGCTAAACCAGGCAGTAAACGGTTTGCGTAAACCGATGCCTAGTCTACGCCATTTCATAGCCCCGCTTAAAATTTGTGTATATGGCTATTTCAAAGCTGTGACGCCCAATGAGGACTAATCGGTGAGGCTCGTACGACTGCAAAGCCGGAAAAGCTCTAGAGGATCAGATACGCATCCAGGAGCGCAAGTGATTGGATTTCCTTCCGGAAAGGAGAAACTCGAAGTACGATTCAGCAAAGATTTGTAGTAATGCTTGAACTTACACAAACGCCCACTCAGAGGCACCATGGGGATCAGTGTGTCACCTGTCACCTGTAAGGAACAATATTTGGAGATTTACGATTGCGACACTGCGACAGCTCGTTGACTATTTATCACTAGGGGGAACATAGCGGTCAGAAATGAGAAGCCCCGCACATCGATAGAGCAATCTAGCCATTCAGGGATCTTAGGCTCTTTGCTATTACTCAGCTTTTACTAATGCACATTGAGGAGAGGATAAAGGAGAATAAAAATTAAGTTTGAGATTTTCTAAACCATCTTAAGATATACCTAGTTCCGTGCTCTTGAAGGCACGATTCACGATGACACAGGTTCCTGAGGCTTGCACCTACGTGAAACTGTGATCCCCAAGGATAGCCCAAGGGACACTAACAAGTCGAGAAACGTCGTAGATAGGCCGTATTGAGGGCTCCAAAAGTGGCTGAGTCGAGGTACACAGTCAAGGCGGACGAGTGTTAATCGTTGTAAAAGCTGTAGAAGTTGAACCATTCGCACCAAGACCCACACCTTGCACGCAGGTTGCTTACTGTAGCCAACTGTGCGCAATAGCACACACATTTGAACAGCTCGTCCAAATACTTCTTTCAGCAATATTTGTCATCACACTCGTGTTCAACCCCTAGTTTTTGCATTATGTAGCCTGATATCTTCCTGAATATGCCGATTTTTGATCTTTCTCTTTTCACTTTTGCACTGAACTATTGCACTGTATTGTATACAGTTTTGCTACATTATATTCATAAGTTACACCTCCCTCCCGATTTTGTTTTACTGAAACTGTCAGAATCAGCGATCAGCAGATCAAAAAACTGCCTGTTTACCTTATGCATGTGATCTTACTGCGGTTTTTCTGAGGATTAAATGGATGTTTTTTGCTTCTGTTGATTATTATTGAGAATAACCATGTGTTTGTTGTATTCAATGCAGTGGATTTTAACAAAGGATAGGATGAGCGTTCATTGTGTCACTTCACATTTGAGAAAATACCTTCTTATTGAATCAGTTCTCCACGTCCTACACTGAAGTTTCGCATGAGTAAGGAAGACAATGGGGAGTACAAATCCAAAAAAATTCCCCAACATATCCCTCTTTTTCTTACCCTCTGAAAAAAATATGAAAAATTCCTACGACTGAATCATATTTCATTTACTGAGAATAAAGTATGAGTATGAACAGTTCTGAGCCAATTAATGCTTGGAAGTAAGCCATGCCAAATATTTCCACTGAGATCATGAAGACAGTTTGGGTGCAGCATATTCAGTCTGAACTGAAGTTCGAAGAATTGAAGGCATTCCTCGACCAAAACAGACTCTGAGGACTAGTTCTTGATGAGAATTATTATACCACCTGTGTTTTGTTTATTGTATTAAACAAATCAAAAGTGTTTCCCAGGATGCTCTCCTCCTGGTTCATTCCTGAATCTTACTGCTCCATAATGCTCACAAAATCTACCTTTTTCGAGAGGAATGAGAGAGAATGGTTGAGATGACGTGATGGGATGTTTATAAGCTAACCCGCCAGCCTCCTTTGTCAGAGAAAAAGATTCTGTGAAGCCTTCCTCCACACTATGTACTCTGATTCATCAGCCTACTCATAATGCCAGTATCAGGGAATCAAGGATAATCGTAGTAGCTTAGGGTGTACTCGTGCTGTACCCTTTGTGCTGTGCGCGTGCATCAATCCCAAAGCTACCTTGGTTGACATTTACTATACTTTGCAAAAGCAACAAAAAGGACGAAAGGGTAAGGTCTACCTCATAGTCACAGGGAACTCGAGCAAAATGTAATATGTGCAACCACTGATTTTACGGGAATCAGAAGCAGAACCGTAGAAGGAATGTGGTGCTTTCGCCGTGCCAATTCAAGTACAAGTTAAGAAGTTTCTAACTGTTTTTTGCCTTGTTCCTGCCTTTAGAATCGTCCCGTCTCACGAATCCTACCGCCCTTCTAAAAGGGTTTTCCAAACCTTTGCAATCTGAGGAAATGGCACTTTTCTAGGCCAATCTCAACTTACAACTCTCAGTTGCTATAGCCAACCCAATCAAGTTTGGCGAAAGGACTGCAGTTCAATGGGCATCCTTGACACATCTCTGCATCCCTGCAGACCTTGAGGACTTGGTGCTGCGGCTGATAATGTTTGAGGAGAAATGAAGTCGACATACGTCAATCACATCCAGACAATGGATTCTATGATATTTGCTAGGAAACTTCGCCACCAACCATAACTGGCATAAAATTCGCGAAGTAAGGACGGAGTTTCGAAGTCATAATAGGGTTTAGAGCCTTCATACGATCTACTGAAAAGCCTTCCGATCAGAAGGAAAGTCGCAATGTGGGATCGTTGGCAAAAAGATGCCTACAGGTGGATGCCTAATGATCATAATTGAGAAGGAACCACTACACTTGTATCAACTTACCCAGACTGACTTAGGGGAACCGGACGACCTAGAAAAACCAAGAAATCGGAACTCCGCCGAATATATTCTGAGTCTTGAGGTCTCTTACAGTGTTCACATTTTTTCGTTGTCTTTGTGGCTGTGAACCTAATCTTACTGTTATTCAAAACTAAACGTCTGACATCATCTGTAGAGGAGATTATGATAAGGATGTGTTAGCTCATTCTACAAGTTTGTTTCATTTGATGATGTCCGACTCCTCGAATACGTCGATGATAATCGAAGTGAGTTGCATCTATGCATATGTAATATTCTTATGCGTCCCAGACCACCATGGGAAGCTTCTTTTGACAAGGTGGTGATCCAGGTTCCTCCTAGTTGTAGCTTGAAACATTGTTTTCCAGGACGTAGACCTTAACCGTGCACTTGAACAAATCCGAGAATTGAATACGGAACTCTCTATGCACGGAGATGCTCTGGCACAGGTTGTCTTGGTTCTAAAATCCCGTTTAGAGTCGATTACGAACGGTTACGTTGCATAAACTACCCGATAGAATCTGCAGGAACGCAACCTCGCCTGAGCCACTTCCTAGACTCAGTCGTTCTCTAAGCGCGTGCACGTGAAAATGAATACCGATTTATCGCGCGTAAAATCGATTCCTATTTCAAAGCATGGCCTGTTGAAACTGCATGAGGTGAAATACGACCTGCGGTCGCTGACCTCTTAGTGGACTCACTTTTAGGTTGGAGCTTTACAAAAGAGGATCGCGTCAACAAAGGGACGTGCTCGAGGATTAGTGAATATGGTACGGTTCCATTCTGTTATCAGACATCCTGTATCTGGAAGTAGCGTTAGTTTCGACTATTGATAGGTATTGATTGAGCAAAAGCAATGTCTCTGCTAACATTTCTGAGAGCCTCAGTAATTTGAATGATCAGCCGTAACCAAGAGTCGTACCTAGATTGACCAACGAATCGCCTATCTAAGTGACGCATGGAAGACACACCTATCCGACAAAGGAGACTATGAAGACCTAGAAATTGCCAAAGGAGCTGTAAGCGATCCAGTGAGGTATGATGAATCAGAAGAATACAAGAATCCCAGGCAACATCATTGTCTTCAGGATCGGACTGCACAAGGACGGTGATGAATCATTCTTTGCCAGAGTGAACATATTGAAGGACAAGGTTAGTGTGAACAGCTCCAGTCGACCGTGCTCACCCACTGAGTATCCAGAATGCCTCGTTGACTTTGTCTATACATGAATAGTACTCGATCTGTTCGTTCGGAATCGCATTTATACTCATGGGCGACCCGAAGCGGCTTGCCTAATCCGCGTCGCGACTGCCCGCGTCACTTGTGTAAGACGCAACCCGAGTAACCAGAGTAGCCAGTCAGAACATGGTGTTCCCTATGTTAGGATTTTTGCTTCGCTCTATGTATGGACTATTTCAGGTGGCAGAACTGGTACTGCTCGACGAACAAGCTGCTGTAGCTCACAAAAGAGCAACGGCCGATAATAAGACATTGAATGTGGCTGCAGATATGGTCAGTCACTATTGGTTCCGGTAAACCATCAGCACCTGATGGTTTAAATTTCAGCTCAAGGAGGTGGAAGACCGTCAACGGGAACTTTTGGCTAACAATGAGCACTGCTTTTCGGAGAAAGCCCTTGTAATTTTTTCAAATTGATTGTGTTGCCACTAGAATTCATCCAATCTTATCAATTCAGCCACTGCCCAGCCTTCGACGCGCTCTTGAAGCAATTGATGCGAGATTGAATTTGAAGGATACAACAGCCGAGGAGAAGTCGGACTTGAAGATGCTGGCTGAGGAACTCCGTCTCTTCCTCAAGTTTTTACCTAACAGTGTATGTGTTCACAAAACTTCTCACTGTTTAGAAAAAAACGCTGAGTACCCGTTCAGGGGTTACCCTACCGGGCTCCTAAGTAAGAGGCCAAGATAGGCCTGTGCACACGAAAAGTGTGGAGACGGTATAGAAAGCACGTTTCCAACATCACATGAATGGCATTACAGGCTTCGGGTACGACGTTGACTCCGCAATCCAAAGTTACTTCTACGTCAGAACTTCGCACGAGTCTTGCTCCTACTGAAACCACCAATAGCTCAAGTTTAATCAGTGGGACTACGGTGCCCACCAATGAGGTGAGATCGACTTCACCTCCCCAGTATGACACCAAAAACTCCTGTTTAGTCGTTAAGCGGTTTCACAACATCAACCGGTACATCGGCTTCGGCCAGTGCAACAAATGGTTACCAAATGCAGGTAAATATCACGATTATCATCTAACGAACCGTTAATCTACGAGAATCCGATGATTACAGGCTGACGGTCAATCACTACCAAACAGCGACTCCAACTCAACAATGCCTATTTGAATAGTTCGAGAAAAAAAGCTTTCACATAATCAGTTCTCAGATTTTAAACGTACCCCAAAGCAATTCTGAGCATGTGTTCGTTCAGATCGTCAATCCCTGTTGGAGCAATAAAGCTTTGATCCGAATCAACTCGTACTTTTATAGATTTTCATTAAATATGACCATACCCATATGTACAAAACAAATTCCCTGAAAACATCACAAAAGTAAATCTCATCACAGCTCATATCACAAGGGTCCTTATTATACTAACATCAAATACTAAATTTGAGAAAAAACAGAAATCTGCTCTAGAATACTGAAAAGTACTCTGAAAAAGCCGCCGCATTCCTATCAGAAAAATAGTCGTCAACTGTCACAAAACTATTCTCATATATCTTTTGTGACGGTTTTGACACTTCCGGTGGACAAGTCTGCAACAGGTCTTTGTTAAAAGAAGGATAAAAAACTCAGCATTAACGAAAGCCCGTACCTTGAAAACATCATCAACGAGGAACAACGTTGGACGTCTATCACTTGCAGCCTGAGCTGTTGGAATATTTAAATCGGTCAGTAAAGTCGGTTTATACTTGATCCAATCCTGAATAAAGAATAAAAATACATTCAATGCCAAATAAAAATCAAAAAATTATGAGTTTCACCTCTTCATCGAATTTATAGCAGCCCGAATTCACATAGTTTCTGTAAAAGTTGCGCATCTCAGGTGACGGACCCAGATGACCCAACCCATATAGTTCCTTTGCAAATTGCAAACCAGTGGCCAACACAGGACGCTCTGCATGACATATATTATCGACTTCCTGTGACAGTAAAAGTTAGCAAATGTTCCAGATCGGACGGACCTTGAAACTCATATGGTAGAGCCGTGCAACTCTTTGAATGACGGAGTTGTTTTTCGTCATTGTTGTTCCCATTAACTAATCGAATCCAAGCTGGTTCTGACTCCATAACTTCATCACCAGTCTGCTCTTCTTCGATAGTATCGTCATCTTCGTCATCAGATTCACGGCTACTTTTTTTCGACTTCTCTTTAGGTTCCTGAATGTAGGTTATTCAACATGAATTACAAGAAAAGTCAACTTTCGAAGCAGTCCAATCAAACAGAACATACGCTTTTCCATAACTTCATGAACTGTCCACTGGAGGACCCTTCTTGGTTGATTCCATACAAACTGAGGGCACGAGCATCAGCGATTAGCTTGAACAATTGATTATCAGTTGAACAAAATTACAAAAGAACCACAAAAAATAAAGAACATTTTAATTAAAAGAAGTCTATTTACATAGATAGGTTGTAAGCAGACTTGCTACGAAGTAAATAGCAACACACTTACAAACCTGTGCTTTCACTCGATTTTCGAGAGTAGTCAACTCGAAGGTTCTGTAGAAATCACGAAAATCGTCTGACGAGTATAATCGAAGGCAAATCCGTAATGAGGCCGAATTGTTTCCAGCATTACCTGAACATCCAGAGAGTAGCAATCGGTTATTAGGAACTGGCAGTACACCGAGCGTCTTCATTGCCAAAAAACATAATGTTTAGCATATCATATAGAACAAAAGATTATACCATTTCCAGCGACTTCTTCTGATTTCGCTTCTTGATCTTGCAGGTGTTCTTTACTGCCTTTCATAATGAACTTCTTTACATTGTCGAGATCCTTTTTGTCGTACATCCAAGCGCAATAATCTGCGTCTACCTTCAACAACAACAAATAAACAAATTGACTCCACGCCTGGAATAAGTATAGACTGCAGAATAAAATAATTGTGATGATACCTTAAAATGGGTAGGAAAGTGCAAGTAGTAGTCCGTGCCAAGATCCCACAGAGGAAGATTGCTACTAATCTGAGGCCTGAACAATGACCTTATTTTAATTAACCTCTGTTAGCATTGAGAAAATATTAAATAAATATGATAGAGTGATGTCATGTCTTACCTAAACATTCCTAGGAAAAGATTAATTGCAGCTTGTTTATCATAATCACCAAAGGTGTTACTATAGTAGCGTGATAACGTCTGGATCACATCCCTACTTCGTTCCTAAACAAGTAAATCACTGCTTTTAGTTCGCGAACTATAGATTCATCTAGGTACTTGCCTGAAGTGCGGCAGTCTTCTTGTATGTTTTTATTGAATGGACTAGTTGACTCCCAGCATATTGCCAAGCCATTGTGTCACCGTGATCGTCGAATAGGTCTTCGAATGCACGGCAGAGCTTGAAAGCATGCATTATCATAGTCTATGACTCAGGGAGCGAAAAGAAGGATCTAAAGTTGACAGAAAATGAGATTAAGATTTTACTCACATCGCTCTGTAACGACAATGAAGGGTAATTTACTACTCCCATAGCATAAAGTTGACAAGCCAATGCTACTCGTCCTGAATAAGAGGCAATTATAAAAAGGTGTGTGGAAAAGCTTCGGGAGGTTTGGGCTACCATCAAAGCACTGATTAAGCGACACATCACAATTTAAGAGGAGCGATTCATAAACTCACAGTTTATAACAACTTCTGACTCAGAAGGCCTCATGCGGGTATAGGGCATAGGAAAAGACTGCAAAATATGTTAGGTGACCAACTCCATTGACAATTGACTCATATAGCTTGAAAATGATACAAGATTTTATGATATTTTTGGAAGAAGGAAATGAAAACCGGATTCAGGATGAATGTCAAGTATAAAACAAATAACAAGTAAAAAAGTACCAAAAAAAGTAAAAAAGTACTAAAAAATGAGTGAAGCTTGATCAATAAAATTTGTGTACCTGAAACCAGCCATGAGCCTGTACTGCTTTCAAGCCGATCTCTTCCAACTTGGTCAATACATTAGAATACACAGTGGAGGTTTTGTTACATCGAGCAACATCAAAACTCAGATATGCTATATGTTCAGATGGCGGAAGGAATTGGTTGAGATAGTTGATAGCCTGAAACATTACTGATAGGAATGGAAAATCTGAAAATATGCTAGGATGAAGAGGAATCTCGAGTAGAAGAAGGAGAAACTAACTTTCAGAAATTGATCATGCAGTAGACCCTCGTGTCTTCGTTTCTCTTTTCTCTTGACAAGATTCATCACGACAACAGGATTGCCATATTTAGCTCTGAGTTCCCTAAAATTTTCAATCATATCAAAAGAGTCAACTTCAAAACCACCTCAAAAACTAGGTCATTACCAGCCGTACCAACCGAAAATGTGCTGCTGCAGTTTGAGCGTGAGGTTCATGAATATCGACAAGAATAAGTGGCTTGCCTACGACACCTCTTGTGGCTGGATCCTGTGACCACCTGAAAATACATATCGATACTGTCATGAAAGTCGGAAAGTATCGAAAAAACCGATGAAATTCACCTCAGCGGAACAGAGCCACGTCGCTGAACAAATGAAGAAAATCTTCCCAAGCTGAAATTTGGAGATGAAGACACATCCCAAAGAACTTGTTCAGTTTCGACGTCATTCGCAACACTTCCTTTAATGTAAGGTTAAGTGGTCTTCATATGAAAGAGCATGTCCTGAATAGCATACCCTTTTGATTGGCCCCTCTCTTGAGGAATCTCGTGCCCGCGTATTCAGCAGATCGCCTCCCGATCAATGTCAAGGAAAGCTTCGTGAACGGCAGGTTAATCAACTGTTGCCCTGAACATAAACATCATTTCTAAATAAAACAACAAGTCTCTGCTAAGGGCGTATATAACTGACCAACATAGCCATGAACGATTTCCAGAAGCCATTGCTCACTAACCAAGTTGCTACGCAAAGGCTCTAATAGGAAGGTGTTCCAAACAAATTTTTTGTCGGAACTCAAAACTCGTTCTCCATCTTTATCCCATTCCATTGATAGAGCGTTTTCTTGAAGAGATCGGCTCAAGTCGTATGTGTAGGAGAAGTAGAAATCAGTAGAAAGATCAACAGACTGCAAGGAACGATTTATCAATGGAGTTGAAAGCTAACAGAATGATGCATGCTCTACAATAATAAGGGCGAAAATTGGGACTTTCACACAAAAAAGAACATTCAGAAAGACGTGAATTCAATGTTTATGAATAGAAAAATAAGTGATACCCATAAGGAGCTGAAAAGGTTTCTAATCAAGACTTGAGAAAAGAAACGTTTTTCATGGATGTGCATAACAAAACTGGATATTGCGGTGAGCTGTACTGCTAAATATCCCGAAACTTTCGAAAAAGTCAAATAGCCAATCAAAACTATTCCGTTACTCTAGTTACCATCTTCACTATCTTAGCCTTACGCTTATTTAGACACAGTTCCGCTTCACTTTTACCCGCCTTTAATCGTTCTGTAGTGGCTATAAAGCCTTACTTTGCTAGCTTCATGACCAAGAATACAGAAATTCATATTTTTCGATTCTCGATTAACATTGAATCGCAAACAAATTCAATTTTACAGCAGAAACAACAAACAACTGCAAACCTGGAATAGTTTAACATAGCGCTGCTCTTCAGTTGAAGTTGACAGACCGTCCATCGCAAGAGAAATCATTGCAACTTCAGCAATCTTGTAAATGGAGTGATATCCAAAGCTTGCTATTATGTTTGCTTTAGTCACAATCTAAAATAATGGACCAACAATTAAATAAGACATAAGGAGCGACATTAAGATGGTAACATAGGGAGGCTTTGGAAATAACTCGGCTTGTCTCTGGCAGCACGAATGCAGCTAAGCGATTCGCTTTAGTTTAGAGTAAAACAATGATCGAACACTTACTATTAGGTAATATCCTTCCACAAATCGCACCACTCCCAAAATACCAAATGCATTACTTATCCGCTCGATGAGTCCAGGGGAGCCTTTGCGATTTGACTTGGAGTTTGAACCAGATGATGAACGNCAAGGAACGATTTATCAATGGAGTTGAAAGCTAACAGATTGATGCATGCTTCACAACAATAAGGGCGAGAACTGGGACTTTCACACAAAAAAGAACATTCAGAAAGACGTGAATTCTATGTTTATGAATAGAAAAATAAGTGATACCCATAAGGAGCTGAAAAGG